TATACATACACATATACACACACATAGACACTCGTATACACACATATATACACATATATATAGACGCAAGCATATACACACACATAGACACCCGTATACACATGTATATACACACCCACACACACACATATATATATAGACACACGTATACACACACACACACACACACACACACACACACACACACACATTTACACACATATATAGACACACGTAAATGCCCACACATATACACACACATAGACCCTCGTATACACACATATACACACACATATAGACACACGTATATACACACACATAGACACTCGTATACACACATATATAGACACACGTATATACACACATATACGCACACATATACACACACATAGACACATAGACATACGTATACACACGCATAGACACACATATACACACATATAGACACGCATAGACACACATATACACACATATAGACACACGTATACATACATACACACACACACACACACACACACACACACACACACACACACACACACACATGAACACACCACACATTCACACACCACACATACACACACACATACACACGTACGCACACACATACACACATACGCACACACATACACACACACAGACTGCACTCACACACATACACACATACGCACACACTCACAAACATATATATACACACCACATGCACACACAGTAAATGTTCAACTGGAGTGCCAAAAACATTTGTTTCTCGACAATCGAACTAATGTTTCCTTTGTGTCAAGACAAAACATCTGACATCAACACCTCAGACGCTGGTGTGAATGATATTATGAGGCATAGAAATACTATTGATAATTTTGGTAAAACGCCTCTTTCAACCACTGGAAGTGCATTTGTCTAGGTGAACCTCAGAATTTAACGTCCATCTAGCCAGTAGCCATTGTTGGCGGGGAATGGGCAACGTGAACCCTACCGGAATTACACGGTCACAGGCAGTTAGGTCTTTCCAGTCTCATGAAAACCCCTTGTACTCTCTTATCCTCAACCTGAATGGCCCTTTTTTACGTTTGAAAACAGGCGACCCCCACCTCCTCGTTTCGCAAATATCTCGATTTGTATTCAAGATAAATGGATATTTTTTTCCATCCAAATAAAGAAAAGTGAACAAGCTTTAAGATGATACCAATAACTCTACATGCCAAAAAATTGACGAGAACCTGATTCTACCATGCTGCCTCACATATGGTACCCTTCAAACTGCGTAAGTCGAGGCCTTCTAAAACTTCAAGGAAATATTTTTATAATAGACCTAGTTAAAACTGAGCTTTTCCAAGACTTTTTCAAGAATTTTGCAAACTTCCCAAAATTCCAAAAGTGTTCCGTTTCTTGGAAGATAAAAACAACATTCTAAGAGTTTTCCAGTTTTCCAAGATCTGTACAAACCCTGTAAGAGAGGAAGAGGCAAGAGGACTCACCTTCACACGAGCTAGGGTCTAGAAAGTTCTCTGTGAAGCCATCGGAGCAGTTGCAGAAGATGTTGCGGTTGACCTCGTAGCAGCCGTCAGTGCTGAGAGGGTCACAGGTGTTGACGGCGGGGATGGAACAAAGCACGTCCGCTGTACAGGGGGAGTTGGGGACATAACGTGAGGGAGGGAGGGAG